AAGCCTGCTTGATACCTCCTGTCGCCCCTTCCCTCCCTCCAATATCCTTCAAAGGGGGGCAGGAGGTAATGGGACGGACGACCGGAGGGGGTAGGGAGAGGGGGCGGAGGATCCACATAACTCCACCTAGGCATTACAAGGAATTTGTGTAGTTGAAGTAGATAATCTTCTAGCGTTAGCTTAATCTCTCTGTTTAGATCCTGGAAAAGAAACTCACCGAAACGGAAATGCCTTTGGCTCTAACAAAAGTTATTGCTGTTTTGGGAACGATTTTAAAGCATCAAGCTGCTTGCATTTGGCAGAGCAGTAATACGAGGTTGGTTATTTTTGCGTTTTGATCTCAGCAAACGATTGCGGTTTGCTTCTTTATATACTTGAGAAGAGTGTAAGGATTGCCAGCAAGCTAACCACTATGTAAATCAACACTAGGCGAAGCAACTGTGGAATGATTGTCAGGTAAATTGATGATTACTGTTGTGAAATCATGATTTATCCTGTTGTAAAATCATGATTTGTCAAAGCAAGTAAGGTAAGTGGTGCCCCCTCAAATCCCTGTATGGAATTCTACTGAGATAAGAGAAGCCCAAGAGAAAAGGATAGAAAAGTTCTGAGGAGCATGAGTGATGAGAAGTTTATACGAGGACGAAACAACAGCCGATCAAAGTACTAAAATGTGAAAAAGTTGAATGTTTGCGAGAAAATAGACTTGCTGGGCTGTGTATTGTTTGAAATTTTATTTTCTTATAAAAAAACAACATAAAAATATCATTTGATTTTATAAAAACGAGGAATCCAATTCGATTTTTTCCCCCAAGTCACTTTACTCTTTTTTAACTTATTTTATAGAATGTCACTTTTACAAATTGGAATGTTTGCACTACATGAAAAATCAACTGTTCGAAGTGCTTCTCGTCATGCTCTGCGTGTCATTCTTACCGATCCAGTAATGGCCATATGCAATGATTGCCATCCAGCAGCAAGTGTAATCGGTGATTTCGTGATCCAAAAATTGCAGCAAAGTGCTGGTATCGCTTTAAAATATTTCAAATCCTACGTTTTTACTGAGTTACCTGCTCGTAGGCAATGTGCGGTGGAAAGTAATGCTACTTTATTACTATCGGTTGCGCGTCTATTCTGTTAGTGGAACTGTTGTTCTGCTACAGTTCGTTCATTCGTTTCGATGGTAAATTGGTACTGGCGCACACCGGGGTTCGAAGCCATCATAGCTTTTTTTACAAGCAATTTTTGAAAAAGAAAGTTATTATCAGTCTGGCTTATGGGTAGTAGTTCATTTACATATAGCAGAGGCAGCTGAAGGTAACTTGAATGGTAGCCTGCTGACAACATCATCCTCTGGTAGGGTTGTTGGTAACCCTTCCTGAGAGTTCAGAAGCAGACTGGTGGCGATTTCGACTCACTAACATACGCCGAGTAGTAAATTACCATCGAAATGAACGAACGAATGGTGTACTTGGGGCGACGAACTTTTGTCGCAGAAAATCCGCGAAACGCCGGCTAAGATGCCACTACAAAGAAGAAAAGAAAGGTGCATTGTGCCTTGAAAGGCGGATACACAGTAGATGTGCTGCCAGGGTGCATCAATGATCGGTGGTGTAGTGGTAACACGTTGCGTCTGGACATGAAGGGGAGTGGTTCGATTCCCACCCGGTGCAGAACAATTTTTGAGAAGGGACTTCGTTCACGACAGTACTCACCTAGTTCCTTTCATTCTAATTCTTCCTTTATATTTGCATTCCACCTCCCTTTGTATATTTTTAATCAACCCACAACTGTCATTAATGACAAAGTTCAGTTGTGGTACTGGGAAAAATATGTGCGACTTGATTGCCCGAAGCATTCTTTTTCAGTTTCATTGTTCTAACTTCCACAAAAAAAAAATCAATATTCTTTTTTTTGTAGAAAAAAAATTTTTTTTTGCAGCTAACGGTTTTCTGCACAACTTCGTTCTAATTTTCTCCTAAAATTTCTTTTAACATTTTATTATCGCTTCGGCTAATACCTCCATCTATTTCTAATTTTAATCGAGTATTGTCTGTGTATTCTGCTGGAGCTGTTGAAATTTTTTCAGACAAGCAAGAAATTCTACCAATGCTTCGATTGTTATCGCTAGGGCGGAAAATTATGCAT